TGACTTTTTCGATAAAAAATTAGCCAGCATTCTTAGTTAGACTTCAAAGTACTGGATTATGCACAAAAAACTCTTTAAAAAGAACATTTTTTTTTCATCGTAGCCGCACTTTAACACCGAAAATCTAAGTCTGGCATATGATTTGGACACATAAAATTGTATTCATATTAAAAAAAACAGTCTTTCTAGTTCAGAAATGTGAAATAAAATTTTTGSGCTGTTCAAAATACGAAATTTTAGACGGCTTCAAAAGCGTGACACTTTCGATATAAAYATGCCGTGRCATCTTACCGTCCGACAAAGTAAACAAGTAGAGAGATCGCTTCAAAGCCATAAAACTTACCATCAACATATTCTTGTCAACGACTTATCGTTAAAAACATCATAACTGAGCTTGCTTCTGAAGTTTTGAAAATGAATCAAGTATTTCGAATGCAAAACATATGAAAACCAACATGAAGCATGGCTTTGATCCGACATATTACTATAAGCTACTGCTCGCTACTATACCGACAATACGTAGAAGCCAAATGTTGTCAGATATAATTGTAATTCTTTCTTAATCTTCAACAAGACGCTTGTCAGCGTGCACTCGGGGTTCTTTTTAGTGTAGTCTCTTGGTTTAATGATACATATAGAATATGTAGTTTCATTTATTCTTGCCGTGACCAAAAAATATAATAAATTCTCAGTCCAGTTGATAGCATAATAATTAAGACTTATATAATTTTGACTTGATAAATTTACCGCAATTATTGCAAAGAATAATAAATACTTTAATTATCAAATATAAAGTAAAACTAAAAATCCTTCCTTGGATTGAAAATAGTAAAAAAAGAAAATGTATTAATATTATTATTGTTGACCAAGAATTGTCCTTACTTTGACAGACATTTGGTCCCGGATTTGGTCTAACGCAAATACCATTCACTGATCCTTTGTTTGCAATCCTTCGTTATTTTACCTGTACAGTTTTGTTGACAATCGGCACTTGAGTCTATTGTTCTTTTATAGTAGTTAGAGCTTTGAATATCAGTAGCTTTTAAGATAGAAGGCCTGTAGTTTATGATTGGCTTTGGTCGGCTTTTGGTAGATTAAATGGCTTGCGTATCATAACTTAAGTCACAATAAGCTTGATTAATTCGCGGTATTTTTCAAAAAGCCCATTCCGAAATCGGTCGACATCCTTTAGTGTGGCTATACCGCGTGTGGATTTGTGAGTTATTTGAGCGTATTTTTGGAGAAGAAGAAATACCATAAGTCCATCGACGAAGAAGCTGATGCAATTAGCACTTGAAGCATGGGATGAGACAAGACAGGCTAGGAACGCCTGGCTAGTCTGGCCGCGATTTGGCGATGAATGCAAAAAATAAAGCCGAAATTAATACTCGGCGTTCCACAGGAACCCCGAGTAAATAGAATATGAAACTTCTACAAGAGCAAACCATACAGGTAATCCTTTCTAAAATGTACACAGCAAATAATTGTTGCATTTGCGTGACGCACAGGGTGACCAACAGATAAAATATACCGACTGTACGTCATTTCACATTATAGTATCGAAAAAAGTTGCGCAATTTTTTTCTCATTTCCCGCCATTCATATTTTTTGTTCTACTAGTACATGATATCACAGGTTATATAACCTATATTTATGCAGTTTCGTCCTAGTCTTTGGTGCATGAGCATCCCTTCACAAGGTCAGCTAGATAAGCTGTGTAGGGCAATTTCCTTCTTACCGAAACAGTGTCTACGTCCATATGGAAGAATTCGCTTATCATACGCAATGTGGGAATCGGCAGTTTATTCAATTTGCCATTCAAAACTAATTCGCAGACATTGTAGGTGTCATAAACTATTGGATGACAATAGCCGACATTCTTCTAAAAACGGTTTCTTGGTAAGAATGCAGATTCTTCCTCTGCGGCTTGAAGATCGTCTTGATCGATGTTTGATACTGGAGTACCCTTCTATGTGCTTTTAGCTTTTCTAGAAAAATAAGATTGAATCTGCTGTGCCGTAAGAAACTCAGCTACTGTAAATCTTCTCTTTCCTTCATCATCTTTTGCATGGCGCATGTCGTTTGATACTTTATTTGGATCTGTTTTGTTACCGGTTTCTTGTCTGATAAAAAAAACTTGTCATCAAGGTAACCTTTTTGATTTTCATTAAAACGAGCTGCTGACTTCTTTGATTTCAGGGCCCATCCCTCCGGTAAGCTATTTCCATCTGCTGGTGAGATGCTTGTTTGCCCTGATAAATGCGGCTGTTCAGTAGATCCTTCTTCAAGAAGCTTTTTATACATCAGCTTCACCTTGTCCATGAGTGTGTAGCGTTACTCTTCTCTTTTACATGTTCCATATAGCAATTGCTGTTCTAGGTTGTAATGACGCTAAAAGGTTTTTATACATCCTTCTGATGGACACATATACAAGGGGTTTTCAGGTTCATCTTCTTCTTCAGTGACAGAAGTTACGTCTTTTGGCTGCTGCTGCTGCTTATTGGTCGCCTGCGCACTGATTGGAACAAAATCTCCAGAGGATAATGAAATGTTGCTGAATGAATCATTCTGTAGAAAACCGCTGTCAACTAAAGAAGAAACATGTTATGTTATATCTTATCCTATACGTACTACATGTATGTTTACTATAGAAAAAATATAAAATACCTTGCAAATTGGGCCACGGAAGATTTCCCAGTAATATCGCACTACTTTAAAAGTGTTTTAAAAAGAAACCATTCCAGTCAGGTCCACAGATTGTAGGGTTAATGTAGGATCTCTTATGAATACCTTTTCGTAGTGTCCAGTGAATGCTATTTTTAAAGTGTTTTGATAAGAAAGGATTCCACGCAGGTACCCATTTTGTAGGGTTAATGTAGGATCTCTTATAAATTCCTTTTTGTACTGATGACTGATCTCATAAGCTACTACTACTTTGAGCTATTTTCAAAGTGTTTTGATACGAAGGCATTCAGGTACCCATATAGTAGGATCAATGTAAGACCGCTCACATATTCCTTCTGGTACTGTGGAGAGGTCTAAATGACATCGAACTACGTTAAAAGGTTTTTAAAAAGAAATAATTCGTCATGTTCACAGATTGTAGGGTCAATGTAGTATATCTTATGAATTCCCTTTTGGAAATGTTCAGTCACCTAATAAACTACTAATAGTGAGCTATTTTACAACTGTTTTGATTTGAAAGCATTCCAATCAGGTCTCCACATTGT